TCCAGGCTGAGCCCCCCCAGCTCCCTCAGCCCCTCCTGCTGCTCCAGCCCCTTCCCAGCTCCGTTCCCTTCCCTGCCCACGCTCCAGCCCCTCAGTGTCTCTCCTGGCTGAGGGGCCAGAGCTGCCCCAGCACTGGAGGTGCCTCAGCAGGGCCAGCACAGAGACAGTCCCTGCCCTGGGACACCCCATGGCTGGCACAAACCAGGTGCCATTGGCCTTCTTGGCCACCTGGGCTCATGTTGAGCCACTGACACCAGCACCAGGTCTTTTCCCACTGTCAGCTTTCCAACCACGCTGCCCCCAGCCCAGAGCGTTATGTGGGGCTGCTGTGACCCCACCACAAATGCCACACTCCAGGCTGATGTCACCCTACCTCCCACCCCACCCTATCTGTGTGGGCTGGCTCACATCTGGACTCACTTGGAGCTGCACAGAGTTTGTATAGGCATTAAAATTCATTTAACCTTGGATTCACAAAAAAATTGCCCAGGCAAAACCACTGAATGACTGCAGAGGAACCAATAAAACAGGAATACTGCTGTGCTCACAGCACAAGATTGCTCCCTGGAGGCAAAGCCTACCTGTGTAAAGTGGCACTGAGAACACAGACAGCCTGTGGAAGATGGCTACACGTTCCATTTTACTGGGATGAACAGGAGTGGAAAGCCACCTCCAATTAGCCACTAAGTAGACAATTAGCTTGAATTTGGCTTGGATTTGAGCTCCTCCAGCAGACTGTCAGCCCTGCCCCTCTCAGCCCCCAGATGAGACTTGCCAGCCCAGTACAGAGGTGGTTTCTGCCCCATCTGTGTGAGTCCCACACACTCACCTTGCTGTAGGCAATCTGTAGTGTTAGTGGGATTGCTTCCCTGTCTCCATCTATGCCCAGCCTTTTGCTGCCTGGACCTGCACAAAACAAGGAGCAAATGTCACACAGTGGCTTTTTATCCACATCCTTCACTGGCTACTGATACAGCAGCACAATCAGTACCTACAGAAAGGGGGAAAAATGGTTTGCTGAACCCGACTGTGGAGCAAAAAGAGAAAGGGGTGGCTTCAAAGCTGCCAGAAAGCAATTAATCCAGTGCAGGAATTCCAACACAAAGCACCACGAGCCGCTCTGCAGAACTGAAAGAGGTGCTGGCTAAGCTGGTGCAGAGGGGTCAGCGCTCCAGGGAAAACACGAAGCAATACAAGGCCACATTGCTAACCCGGCTCCTGTTTTTCCAGGCATATTTCTGCCCACATTAAATTAGCCTTGAAATACTGTGCCCAACACTTCCTAACTTCACACACACACCCCCCCCCCCCCCCCCCCCCCCCCCGCCCCTTCCAGATAATTTTTTGCAGATGTGGTGTTTTGTCACACAACCCAAGGGAAAAAAACATCAGAGTCGGGATTGGTGGTTTCACGAGTTAGTGGGAAGAGGTCTTGGCCAAGCCTGTATTTTGAGGGAGTGGAGTGGTGACACTTCACGTGGGGGATATTTTACGAGCTCTGTTTAGAAAGACAAGGCGAGATCACAGAAAAGCAGCTGGTTAAAGGCTGAAGCAGCGTGTTTAGGTGCAGTTTTGCGGGTTGGCCACGGGAGGTCTGTGTGAGCTGCACTGCACCAGAGCCGGAGACCACGCTGCAGGCAGATGCTCTTGCCATTGCTCCTTCTCTCTAACGCTGTTAATTTTACAAATTCCTGACATAAACGGACATTCAGGAAGGCTCCAAGCACGCACCCACAAACCTTGCTTTGCCCAGTAAACTATGGAAACAGAACTACGGGGTTTATAAATGGCATTCCTGGAGAAAGCACAAACAGCAGCAAAAAGAAAAGATGTAAAGCTGCATTTGACCAGGAGCTGATGAAGGGAAGGAAAGGGACTTGAAGCTGTTTCATTGTAAATCCATTTTAGAGTTAACAGCAGCAAAAACAAGAAGGCATTGCCACACCTGAAGAGGAATGCAAGAATTAGGATATTTCCCTTCCAAATCAGCGGAGAGCTGCCTGAACCTTTGCTCAGGCTGGGTCAGACATGTCTCACAGCCCACGCTCCCTCCAGCCCCTCTTTCCCTTCACCTCCCAGCCCCGTGGTTTGCAGCCCCCCACAGTGGGTAGGTGGATAGGTGCAGCAGCAGCTACAGACCTGATGCCTTGATGGCCCGTGTGGCTGCTGAGTGGCCCAGCTCGAGGGAGTGGATGAAGACTTCGGTCATCTTTTCTCCCCCGATGAAGGTGAGCTGCCAGGGCAGAAGAGTGAAGATGTGGTGGTGAGACCACCCAGCCTGTGCCAGGCAGCGTTCATCCTTCTAACTTCTTTCCACAGAAAACAGATCAGTTTGGGAAAATCCTTTCCTGTTCTCAAAACACACCTTCCAAAAGCTGCACTGGGTGATACTTGTCTTTAGCTGTCCTTCAGGCTGCTCTAACAGACCACCAGCAAGTCAAACAACACAAACCCCTAATCTTCACTTAAAGAAAACTCCATAGCCCACTGGAAAGAAACTCCATGATGAATCTGGGCATTCCTTTGGGAACACAAATCCCATGAAAAGCAGCAGCTCTGCTCGCCACAGCCCCACTGCATCTGGTCCCGAGCCACAGCACCAAAACAGTTGTTGTAGCCCCACATTCAACCTTCCCCACAGCAGGGTGTGGAAAACAGGTTCGTGGAGGGGCTTGGTTTGGGAAGCAGAGCACAAGAGAGACTTCCAGCAATGTGAAAAACCTGCCAGCACTGACAGGCATTGATTTGTGTCATGAGGAAAGGAACTGTGATGGAAAACTGCTTGTGTGACTTCAGGATTGTCTGGGCTGGACCTACAGGCCCTCAGTCCCTGAGCCAGGAGCATCAGCAAAGCAACGTGGACAGTTGGGGACCGAGCTCTGCCTCGCCAGAACTTGGTGGCTGTGACACACCCACATCGCTTCACGGGCAGGTCCCAACCTGGTGGCACAGGCAGAAGACCCTCACTTTCCCCTCAGAAGATGGGGCTGAGGTCCATTGCCTACCTCTGTCTGATAGAGCTGCAGCAGGACGGGGCGTGTGGCGAAGCGGCAATAGTAGAGGATCATGTCTGCCAGGATGGGCAGCTGCTCCTGGGAGTCCTCCTGGGGCTCAGCCTCTGGCTTGGCAGACTGTGGTGGGAGAATAAGTCAGCAATATGATGGGGTATGTGTTACCTACATCCAGAATGTCCATCCCACCCCACCGGGGACAGAAACCCTCCTTCTGACCACCAGGAACCCCCCATCTCCATCCTGTGCCCATGTTGCACAGGCTCTTGCAGAGGATCGTGGTGGCACAGTGCTAAGCAGAAGTTTCTCTGATCAGGTCCCCAGTTCCTCGGGGAAGGAAGATGAGCCCTACCAGCTGGCACACACGTACCTGACACAGGACGTCCATGGGCAGGTTCATCAGCCCAAGGACGTTGCGTTCGTACCACGGGTCCAACATGCCGATGTAGTGGGAGATGTCATTGGTGCTGCTCTCCATCCCAGCCGAGGTGGGATCCTGAAACCACACACACTGGGGTCACCCCGAGGGTCCCCCAGGCTCCCCTCAGCCTGCCCTGCCAGCCCTGGTACCGCAGGGACACCTACCTGTGCCCGGAGCTGTGGGTCCCCCGGGGATGGGGAGGGATGGTGCAGCAGGGGGGTCGAGGGAGCCAAGCAGCTCCTCTTCACGGGGACGTAGAAAAACTGCAGCTTGAAGTACCTTGTCAGTGAGGGGCAGGTGCTCTCCTTGAGCCTGGGAGAAGGCGGAGAGGGCCGGGTGAGCAGAGCAGCGCGGGATGCCACGGCAGGGCCAGGTCCCCACGGTCAGACCCCGCTCCTCCCGGCTCACCTGAGGTTGCTGTAGGCCCGGGCCACCTTCCCCGAGATGCGGTCGGAGCCGAACACCACGACGCGCAGGGTGGACACTTTGTTGTCCTCGTCGTAGCTGAGGAAGGGGCGCCGGGGCAGGCTGAGGTGCTGTGGGGCCAGCGGGGCGGGCAGGCGCTGGCTCAGCACGTGCTGGGGCAGGGAGTGAGCGCGCCGGGAGCGCGCCGGGACGCGCAGCCGGGCCCGCGAGGCGCACAGGCTCTCGGCACGGCGCAGCGGCAGCGACAGCGAGCCCGTGTCCCCGCGCTCCTTCAGCTCCCTCCGCAGCACCAGCTGGCTTTTGCTCTTGAACAGTTTGTAGATCTTGTTGGTCAGCGTTTGCCTGTACTTGTGGTGGGCCTTCTCCGCCCTCAGCTCCGTCCTCCCCACCACGTCCAGGGAACACTCGTCGCTGTCCTCTGCGTACCCGCTGTCCATGCAGTCCTTCAGGCTGGACACGAACGATTTCAGGGACTTCCTGGAGACCACTGTCAGCTCCGAGATGGAGTCCTTGGAGGAGGTGAAGAGGGACATTCGCGAGGGCTTAGATCCCTCCTCTGACAGCACAGAGTACACAGAGTCACTGGAAATGGCACAGAGGGGGGAAAGCAGCGAGTCCCGCTCGGGGGAGCAGCCATCGGTTTCCACATCCTCCTCCTCCTCCTCTTCATCCTCCTCCTCGTTCTCCGAGGCCATGGGCTCAACAACGCTGCACTCCTTGCTGAGGACGTCATTGAGGATATCTGAAAGGCAACCAGAGGGAGATCATGTCCACCCCGGGCTCTAGCAGAACCACTGCAGATGTGATGGGCCCAGATGTGATGGGCCCAGACAACGCCACCACTACATCGTGGCCAGTATTCTCTTCTATCCTGCATGACTTCAAATAAGGAGCTAGAAACCTCCTCCTGAGTGTTTTCAGATTTTCATGAAGTGCTCAGTTGCAATGCAAAGCAAAACATATTTCTCTCCCTAAGAGAGAACTCTGTTTGGGTTCTGCTTCCTTCCTATACAGCTTCCACAACACACTCAGATCTGATCCAGGTTTAACCAGAGGGCAGGAGGAAAGCTGGGTACTCAGCTGATCAAATCCCCAGTTGATCCACTGTGGCTTTCTGGCAAGGCTGGACTCACTGCAAAGAGCCAGAGCTCTGCTCCAGCCTGCTGGGGCCAGCAGGCAATGAACACTGAACATTCACAGGAACACACAAAGTCTTCCAGGAATAGGGAAGCTGGAGAGACCAGCATGGCAGAAGGGGAACGCACTGCTTCCCCTCCAAAACTGCTGTGGCCAGGCTGAGAGCACAGCAAAGGCACCTACTCCTTGGCCATCCTGCTGAGGGGGAAAGAGTTGTCATGTCTGACCTGTCTCAACTCGATAAAGTCTCAGTATCCCAGTGTAGTCAGTTTTTTCCAGCAATAATTATTTCCAGGGCACAAGTAAGGTTTCCTCCTTGCAGAGGAGCTTCCTACCAAACAAGGTCTTGTCCTGCCAATGTTCCCATGGACTTGGGAGTGATGAATCTATTCCAGCTTCATGCAAGGCACAATCCTGACCAGAAGATTAGGCCCTGCATGATTTGTCTCTGGAAAAACTTGGTTTGGGGCCACCAGTGTACTGTGCCCTCTGCTTGAACAAAAGCTTTGCTTGGGATCGCAGCAGGCACCACACCCGAGCTGACACCCACATCCTGTCCCATCCAGGGGACACTGGCACCCACGGGGTCATTTCTCCCTCTGGCACCAACAATGTGTTATCAGCTCTTTCATGCACCCAGCTGGATGTGGAAGCCCCAGCCAAGCTGAAACGCTGCTCAGCCACCCCTGGAGTGGGGAACAGAGGGCTGTGGTCTCACTGGGATGACTGGGGGGACCCCCTGCACTTACCAAAGTTATCCTGGTCCCAGCTGTACGTGTAGCAGCGAGCTGTGGGGATGGGGATGGTGTGGAGCTTGTGGGGCTGAGCTTCCCCTGGGAAGAGAGAAGGGAAAGGACTTAGTTTGCAAGGGCCCCCAACACCACCCCTGCCAGCTCTCCTGGCTGGTGGGAGATGCCATCCACCCCATGCACACATTTTGGACAGCCCAGGTCACGCTGAACACCAGTGATGTCGGTCACAAGCGAAGGGGGTGAGGGGACATTTCACACCTCTAAGAGCCATCAGACATCACAGCTACCAGCAGTTTCTGATTTAATGTTTTCATCTCAGCCACACAGGCTGGACAATTGGTTTTGCTGCTGTTTTAATGACACCCTTTCCGGCTCATCGCGTGGTTACCAAACAGGACCCGGGTTGGTGCCTTTTCACTGCAGTTGTTTCTCTCAATTGAAACTTTGTGCAAGATGCTCATTGCTGCTGGCTGCAGGGCCTGGCTGAGCCTGCAGCAAACCCTGGAGAAAAGAGGGGCCTGTGGGGGTTTCTCACCTGTGATGGCAGGGAAGGAGGCAGCCCCAGCGATGTCCCTGAGCACGGCCTGGAGCCGCTCCCGGGCCAGCCCGGGGTCGCTGCTGGAGGCCGCGATCTCCTGAGCATCGGCAGCACTGGAGTAGATCTCTGACAGCTCTTCCAGCGTCTTGGACTGGGGGAGCAGAGCCAAGGTGAGAGATTAAGGGGTTCCCTTCACACAGGCAAGACACAGGTCCTTGAGCAGGATCTGGGTAACTCTCTCCCTCCACCACCCTCCACCCCTTTTCAAGTTCCCCAAAGCTTTAGCGAAGAAAATAAAAACGTGTTTGAAAACACCCAAGGGGTTTTCTTCACAGTTTTTTGCCTCTCCTCCAAGTCTTTCTCTGGTCAAACAAACACTTTTGCTGCACTTCAAATCTGGGGGCCCTTCCTCACGACACTTAGGGATGAAGAGAGGAGGAACAGGGTAAAAGGCAAGTGATCCCCCCACACACACACTTCACAAAACCCAAGTGCAGACCTCAGGTCTGACCTGAGAAATAAAAGATGTGTATTTTTCCTACAAGAAGTGTTACCAAAACTTCTTTTCTTTTGCCAATTATGTACTGTTTTGGTCAGGAAATCCAGCAGCCAACTCCACGAAACCACTCTCAGCGGCATCCCCAAAGTCGGGGCTGTCCCAGCCTACCTTCAGGAGGTGGTGCAGGCTGTCCAGGTCGCAGCAGGTGCCAAAGTTGGCCTGGTAGAGGTGCCCGAGGAGCAGGACAAGCGTGGCGTGCTGGGGGTGCTCGCTGGCACTGAGCTTCTCGGCGATGGAGAGGAACTCGCTCTGCACCTCGGAGCGGTTGAGCAGCAGCACCGTCCTGGGGACAAGGGCACACCAGTTAGGCCAGGCAGCCAGGCTTGGAGACTGCTGGTGAACCCCAGACAGGGCTCCAGCCCAGCAGCCAGTTGCTCTAACTGGACATGGGATGAAGTGGGACATGAGAGAGGCCCCAGAACCACCTTCCTCCTGCAAGATGCAGGTCAGAGAAGCAGCTTTAAGGAGAAGAGCCACATCCTTCAGCTGCATTTTTGCTCCAGACCACAACACAAACATCCACAGGCTTTGAATTCCCAAACCTGCAGCCCAGACAGCATGTGCTTCTGTTCATGGGCAATGGCATTCAACGTCCATTAGCAAAACTGGCTCTGAATTAAGGATGTGCTGGGATGTGCTTGGATCTAGAAAGCTCAGGCAATGGGCACAATAAGCCCCCAGTTCAGGAACTGGACTTGATGATCCTTGTGGGTCCTTTCCAACGCAGGATATTTTAGGATTCTATGACCTGTGCCAGGTTTTCAGGGCTCTTTATGAAAATACAGCCAATACCCCAGTGCTGCTGGGTGAGATAAGGGTGCAGATCCAGGGCTGCACGGCACGAGCAGACAAGCCAAAAGAGAAGGACACTCCTCCTGCACAGAGTGGCTGTGCCTGAAGGACTGTCGCTGGGGCTGAGCCAGGATGGCAGACACCACTCAGGCTCCTTTCCCTATTTACAAATGAGGTGGTAGGTAAAAAGGCTCAGCCCTCAAATAAGGAGCAAAGTCTGACTTGTGCTCAGAGCTGCAAGGCTTTCATTCAGCGCTGCACTGGGACTCGGAGGGACTTGCTTCTGACCCCTGCTGGGGTGGTGGCTCCCAAACCTACAGATCACAGCATTTCCCAGCTGTTATCCAATGTGTGCTGAGATCAGCAGCTCCCTGTGGAGGAGACTTTGCCTTCCCCAGTTGTTGTCACCCAGATCTGCAGCCCTACAGTTAAGCAGTCCTGCAGGATAACTGGCCTGGGGAGCCCACAGGCCCAGTCCCACGGCTGTGGAAATGCTACAGCCCATCTCCTCGTCCCTTCCCACAGCTCAGCCCAACTATCCAGCCCTCCTCCCCAGCACCCACCACGACCCCTTTGAGATGCTGCTCAGTGCCAGGCCGTGGGGATGCCACAGAGGGGACCAGCAGTGCCCATGGCCACACTCACACAGTGGAGCTCTGGTGGTTCTTCACAGGCAGCCCCTGCTCTGTCCTCACCAGCCTCTGGAAAGTGATCCCTGGGGAGAGAGCACAGGACATGAGCAATGGAGCCATTACAGACTGTTCTGCCTCAACAGCACATTGACTTTGCCTCCCAGTGTAGTGCAGACATGGCTGAGTTGCTGCTTGGAATGGGAATGGCCCCACCAAAAGTCCTCACAGAGACAAGGCCCAGCCACAGTGTAAAGGGACCATCCCAGGAGCAAGGAAGGTTGGGATCTAAAGGGAAAAAAGCCCAGAGTGATGGGAAAACAACCAAAGGATGGGACAGGAGAACTGCTCCACCTCCAGTCCCTTCTGCTCCACTGCTAATGTGGGATGGGAATTCCATGGATGTTTAGCAGCTTTTCCCACTTGCTTTACCCCCCCCCAGGCCCTTGATGTCACTTCTGGACAGGAGGTCACTGCCACCTTCCCTCCCACAGAGATGGAGCCCAGACTGGCCCCAGCAGGAGAGGCTGGTGTGAGCAGCCACAACTCTGGATGCCTCCCTGGGATTCCCCCCAGGATGCCACTGGGAACCCAAACCAGGTGACATCAGATGGATCTGCGCTGGGTGGGAACAGCAAAGCCAACGTCTCCCCCAAACAGCAGGATTGGAGAACATCTTGGGAAAGATCTTATGGTATCAACAAGATCCTGCCCCTTTATCAGTGCAAGCAGCCACATCCCAACCCAGCTCAGCAGCCTGGGAGCAGCACCCAGGGGGGGTCAGGCTGATCACACAGGCCCCCCCATGACAGCAGCATTCACCCTTCTTGCAGGGGCACCAGCCCCAGTGAGCAGATCAAAGCTATTGCACTCTTGGCAAATATTGACAACAGCTTGTTCTCAGTTAATATTTACCCTCATCTCAATAAAAAGCTTTTGCTTCAGCTCGCAGCAGGTCACAGAGGCCGTGCCACAAGCCTGTAAGAGCCTGTAAGGCCCTGGCCAGCTGACCAGGACAGGACACGCTCTTGCTGGTGCTGGCTCTGGCTCCAGCTGAGGGGAGAGTGCACGGTGAGGGGCAGCACTGGGTTCCCCAGCCACTGCAGCCAGTGCCTCCCACATGGCATCTTGGGCAGGAGTGGGGGATCCTTTATGCTCACAGGAGGGGAAAGGTTTTGGCCCAAAGTCTCCAGCTCACACAGCACTGGACACCAGTGACAGCGGTGATGGCACAAGAGCAGGGTGCAGCAGCCCCCTCCCCAGCACTGGAGCTTTCTAGCAGTGTGTGAAACAGCCCTGACCAGGATCACTGCAATAAATGGCCAGGAAGGAGCTGGGGAAGCCCATGGCTGCAGCAGCATGGGATGAGTGTCCTCACATCTGCGCTGGTGTCTGGAGGCAGCAGGAGGAGCCCAGCCAGACCCTGCCTGGTGGCCATGACCGTTTATGCTGGGGGTAAGGCAGCCATTCCAGTGCTCACAGTGCTCAGGGATTTGTTTGGTTTTTTTTCATCCTTTTGTTCCATTGAAAGCACATTTCATCCCACCTACATCTACAAGCTCTCATCTCACAGGATGATGCTGCCATGACAGAGACCCTGCATTTCATATCCTCACCAGGGCTCTCTGAAGCAGCTTCCCACTCTGAGGAGGTGGGAAACACCCCCAGCCCCAGCACACACCCCCCTCCAAGGCCTCTCAAACCCTCCTCAGAGTCAGTCTTGCTGCCATGGCCCTGCCCAGGATTAAACACGGGCTGGAATCTGCTCTGTGTGATAACAGCTCTTCAAAAGCCACCAAAAGACCAGGAGATTAGGGAAAAGGGCCTTTTAGAAATAATTGGAAGAGCTGCTCCGCTGGGAACAACAGGACATCCAGGAGGAGTCCTTAATTAAGGGGAGCACTGCTGCTGCTGCTGGATGTGGCCAGAGCTGTATCACAAGGTAATGTCTGGGCTGTAAAGAACGAGCCAGGGAGTCCCTCAGCCCTATGGAAATCTCCACGCAAGGGCAGGCTTGGAGGCTCCAGCCACCTTGATGTCAATGAATGGACTCACTGTTATCACCCCAGTTGCACCACTGAGCATCTCAAACAAAAGGCCAGGGCTGGGAGGGAACAGCCAGCACGTGCTCTGCCGTGGAAAAGGCCCACCAGACTGAAAGGCAGCCAGGAAATAGTTACCCCTTTTGCTAATTGCCAGAGCTGGGAGTTCCCAGGATGCTCCCACCACCTTGGCAGCCACCAAAAACCACCACCCTGTCCTGTTCCTCCAGGGGAGTCTGGTCTCACCCTGTGCTGGACCACCAGGTGATATCATCCCAGGGATGGAGGGCAGAGTCCTCACCTCCTGGGAAAACTGAGGTTTGGGATACCTGGGGTAACTGTGGGTACCATGCTCACAGGATTCATGAAGCAAGTGGGGAATGAGACAGCAACACCCAGGGAGCAAACATGGGCAGTGCAGGCAGGGGGTGTTTTTAGGGAAGTGGTGGCAGCAGCTCGTGCAGGGCAGGAGCTCTCACCAGGGGCCCTCAGCTCATTGCTGATGAAGGTGAGCAGCTCACGGAAGATGTCACAGTAGGGCACAGGCCAGGTCAGGAAGCTGTGGTACACACTGGCAGCTTTCAGGAGCAGGTCGGAGCCCGGCGGGAAGTGAGGAGCCTGCAGGGGACAGGGAGACACAGTTAGAAAGGGAGCAAGGACACAAACTGCAGGTGCTGTGTAAAAACTCGAGGGGTTAGGCTGGAAGTGGGAGGAGGAGAGGCAAAGCAGAGGTTCACCCTGTGACACCCCATCTTCTCCCGAGGAAGGGTCAAAGGATCCCCACTGGGCACAGCTCCAAGAAAGCTCCTTCCGCTCTGCACCTTCCCAACCTCCCGGCTGTGGCTCACGTGCCAAAGCCTATATATAAATTCCTTTTTAACCACCCTAGACACACACAGATGAATTGCATTACAGCCTGTGCTTTTGCAGGATCTGGCAGCAATGATTTCCTTGGGATAATGATGCATTGTGCTAGTAATAATAATAATAAAAAAAGTACTTCCTGTGAAGGCTCCGCTCCTTCTTTTCATTCACACTGCCAATGTATTTTGCACAAGTATAAAGGGTAATGAAAAAGTTTCCCTTCTCTGCACAGAGATATTGTCCATCTCCATTTCTGATTAGCCCACTCTTTAAAAAATAGCTTAAACATCCTGAAACTCTTTTTTTTTTTTTTTTTTTTTCACTCAGCTTATGCAATGGTTGTTTGATCTTGATCCCTACAGGTTTGTACAGAATCTTTCTGTAAGATGAACTGATCCAAGCAGGCCGTGGCATTCCAGAAAAAGCCACCCTGATTTCAGTGACTGCTCCACGGCCTTCCCAGGGGTGGGACCCGGCTCCAAGCAGCGGCCCCAGCACTTACGTAGAGGACAGCAGAGTAGAAGAGCAGAGCCAGGGGTATCACCAGGTCGTAGTCACACTTCTCCTGCACCTGTGGGAAACAGCCCAAGGGCAGCAGGGTGAGCTGGGCTGTTTGGTGTGAGCACCACCCGAAAGTATCCCTGGAGGTACCAGGGGACTCCCCAGCCGTGCAAGCCGAGCACCCAACCCACGCCACCACATCACCGTGCCCAGCGAATTCCCTCAGCCCGACGGGAAAACAACCCCCAAAGCCCCACTAATCCACACCAACGGGACAGACAGATAAGCACAACCTCCTGCTCTGCCTTTGCTCAGATCTGGCCAAGCTCCCAGCCCTACGATGTTCCCGATCGTTGCACATGAAATTCCATGGAAGTGCCTCAAAGCAGGCAGCCAGGAGAGGCAAGGAGGCAGCCCAGCCCCTGCAGTGAAATCCATGTATTTCCATCCCAGGCTTTGCCAGGGAACACTCAGCAGAACTATTTCACCGAGGGACACAGTGATAGCTCAAGGATACACTTGCAAGCAGTCTCCCTTTGTTCATGAGCACTGCACAAAGTACACTAAACCCTTACAAGAAACCCTAATGAACCACTGTCTGCAACAAGATCAATTCCAACCATTACAAAAATACGTAAATGAATTTAACCAAATTGTGCTAAACTTAACTGCTATCAGCTCTGCAGCCTTTCTTCCCCAAAAAATGAAAGGCAGCATTTACCCCATCACATGAATCCCAGTGCTGGGGATTTAGGAAGCACATCACTGTTTCCTGCCACATCAAGGGATTCCTCCAAGGCCTTCCCAGCCGCAGCCTGGGATGACCCTGCTCAACCAACGATGCCTTGAGGTTCTCTGGCACATGATGGGACCACAGCAGGTCAACAGATTGGCCCCACTGCCATTTCACCTCCCTGCTGTGCCTGACCCCGCTGTCACCTGCTGGGCTGCAAACCCCATCCGTGGTCCTCAGTGTTGCAGCTCCACAGGAAGCCCAGCAGGAACACAGAGAAGTTTCCATCAAAAACAACAGTAAACTTTCTATTTGCTCTGCTCTGGACTAGCAGCTCCCAGCTGATGGCTGGGGAAGGCCTGGGGAAGGCTGGCTCCATCCATGCAGCCCTATGGTGCCCCAAGCAGCACTTGGGGAAGTCAAAACCCATCCCTGTGGATGTGTTACCCAAACAACAGATACCACAGTTGGGCTTTTCCCTTGTAGTTCTCATGTGGCACACACAGCATTACTACCACCAGAGTTCTGTACCTGCTGACCCAGCACCGCCTGACCCCAAGTCCTGGTGTTCCAGCAATACTTCACCACAACCCAAAATCACCCAGCAAGCTCAGCAAAACTCCACTTAGGGCAAGCCATGGAGCTGACAACATCTCAAAGCCCACAGCCCTCCCTGACAGCCTCCCAGCTCACCTCTTTGGTCTTGCCAAGGATCTTCTCCACGAGGATGAGGTAGTTGCCGGCGTCGCGGCTCACCAGCTCCTGCAGGCTCCAGCAGTTCAGGCACAGCCCTGCTGTGGGGGACACAGAGCCACTGTCACTCACAGCCCCGTTCAAGAAGGTCACAGGAGGGATGTACAATGGGAAGGGGTCAGGGAGGAAGGTGTTGACCACAGGCATCAGATTACAGCAGAAGGGAAAACCTCACGCCCCCTCGTTCCAGACAGACATAACCTCAAACAGAAAAGAAGTTTGTCTCAGCAGCACTGCTTCTACCTGAGCACCTTTGTGTTCTCACAGCCCAACACATCCAGCTCAGCTGGATGCCTCTGTCCAGGTTTCAGTTGGGTAGCTGATGTGCCAGAGCTGCCACGTGCATGTGCAGAGGCCAGAGGGATGTGCCTGGCATGGGTGGAACCCACCTGCCTTCTGCCCAGGCACGGACAACCCATCAGCGTGACCCCTTGCCCTTGCCCTGCTGCCCCACGGCTCAAACACACCAGATGCACAATCCCAACTATAAACTCACTCAAATCCTGCCAAATTCAGCTTCCTGTCAGCAGACATTCAATCCCCTCCAGCTGCATCCCAGCCACCCCAGCTTCCCCACACCCTGGAGATGCACCAACACAGCAGCACCACAGCAGAGCTCATATCTGCGTTGCTGTCAAGCCTGCCCAGCATTTAGGCCATCTCTTGGCACCTTCAGATTTTCATTAAATCTGTTAAAACCCCACCAGAAGATTAGCCAGAGTGAAAGAAAAGAATTGCCATGCAAAGGGATGGCGGTGACTGGGGTGGTGACCCCAGTCAATTGAAACCCCCCGACCACCTTCCCCCCGAAGACATCTGCTGGGATCTGAGTGGTGACAATGGCCCAAGGTGTTTCCCGAGGTTCTCCTCAGCGGTCAGGGCCACCTCCCAGATGGCCTTAGAGGAAATGATCGGTGTGAAGGCTGCCAGACGCCTCCATTCATCCCGGCCCCGCTTCCCAGGGGAGGAGGCGGTGCTTGCTGGCAGTCCAGGATCTGCAGGGCAAGGAGGGACCAGCACCCCCTCCTCCCCTTCCTCCTCCTCCTTCCCAGGGATCCAGGTACCCCACACAGCCCCAGGGAGAAAAGTTACGGGTATCTTCAAGCAAACAGCCCAACAAATACCTGGGAAAGGCCCACGTTGGCATCTCCCCCACCCTGCATTGCTATGGATTTTTTTGGCAGAAGGGGATGCAGGTGGACATTACACAGCTCACCTGCAGCCCACGGCACAGTTCAGGGGGGGCTGGAACTGGGGCTCTCCCAAGCTCAGCCCAGAAGAGAAACCAAGATTAACAGAGCATCTCTCACTGCAGAGAAGAGGTGCTAAAGATCAGAGAGGAAAAATAAATATAAATCAGATGGATTTCACTCACATGGTCTATGAAGCGGCACAGGACACAAACACCAACCCAAGCCAGAGCAGGGAAGAGAACGCCACAGAGCTGACAGGGGACAGCAGTTCAGCACAAACCTACAGATCACACTCTCTGGGCCTCAAGCATTATACCCAACTGCAGAGGCTACAGATTCATGAAACACAGACATGTCATAAAAATACCTTTACACACCTTCTAGGTGCGAAGCAAGAGGAATTCAAACCAGGGGAGAGGGTGACATGGCCCAGTGGGAGAAGATCAATGTCAAGACAAGCAAAACTGGTGCTGAGGTTGCAAAACCAGACTTGTGGATGAGTGTTTGCTCACCAGGACATGCACTGTTTCTGTGGCTTTCTGCCAGGCTTGTAGCTGAATTAACAGGGCAAGAGACTTCCCCCAGGGAATGCCCCTGGGCTGCCACACAGCTTTTTACTTTCAATGAATCAACATTTTCCAGCGGAGAAAGATCCCTCTGGAAAGTTTCCAAGCAGCTCAGATGCACTTTCTAATTTGCCTCTGCTACTCCCAGTATCTTACTGGGTTTGCTGACACCCACCAAGATCCTGTGATATGTTGTCAGTGAGGGAACAGCCACAGTGACCCAGGAATTCAGCAATGCTCCAGTTTTCCTTTGAGCCACTTCCACATGCCAGCGGATGCCACAAAGCCACAGATCTGCCTGGGATGACTCCAGCAGGTTGCCCAAATAAATCAGTATTGTCCCAGAGTGTGGCATCCTCCAGGGAAAGCTCCTGCACCTGGGAGATAGTCAAGTAAGCAACTGGCCCAGCAGAAGTGGTCAGAGCTGCTGGGAGCTTTGCTGACCTCAGCAAGAAGTCACTGGGCTCATGTGGTGCCTTGAGAAAACCCATCCTGCTCCAGCTGGGAGGATGATTTATCTCAGAGCCCCTTCCAGTGCCTAAAGGGGCTCCAGGATTGCTGGAGAGGGACTTTGGAGAAGGGTCTGGAGCAACAGGACAAGTGGAATGGCTTCCCACTGCCAGAGGGCAGGGTTAGATGGGATATTGGGAAGAAATTGTTCCCTGTGAGGTGGGGGAGGCCCTGGCACAGGTTGCCCAGAGAAGCTGTGGCTGCCCCTGGATCCCTGGAAGTGTCCAAGGCCAGGTTGGACGGGGCTTGGAGCAACCTGGGCTGGTGGAAGATGTCCCTGCCCATGGCAGGGGGTGGAATGAGAAGAGCTTTAAGGTCCCTCCCAACCCAAACTATTCTATGATTCTTTCACCTGTGAGAGCCCGGCCCTGCTACACAGCCAAGGGCAAAGCCTGGCCATGGGGAGCAGGACCCATGACAGTGGTGGGGCTGATCTCGTTGGGGAGCATCTCCCAGCGAGGAGAACACCGCATCCTGCACAATCATAACCACAAACACCAACAGCCCAGCACGGCGTGGGCTCTTTCCTTCCTCTCACTTGCAGCGAGGGAGGAGGAAACTGCGGTGGCAGCGGCTCACGGCGTCATTTGTGCTGAATGGGGCAGAGGGAGAGGCACTGGGCTACTTCCCCTGGGGAAACTGGGGCAAACCCACTGTGGGGAGGTTGGGAGGATGGGCAGGGAGCAGGGGCAAGGATCAGTGGAGGCATCTTACAAACACAGCATAAAGGAACTAACATAAGAGGGGACAGCTGGAGCTGTGTCTGGGCAGGGTTAGGCTGGGTATTAGGAAAAGGTTCTTCCCCCACAGGCTGGTTGGGCACTGAACAGGCTCCCCAGGGCAGTGGGCACAGCCCCAAGGCTGCCAGAGCTGCAGGAGGGCTTGGACAGGGCGGGGACTGTTGTGGTGTCCTGTGCAGGGCCAGGAATTAGACCCAATCCTTGTGGTGCCTTTCCAACTAAGCATATTCTGTGATTCAGACCTGAGGTCTTCTCATCCGTTTTTGGGTCTTCTACAGGAGCTATGAGGTGAAGCTCCAGGATACAACCGGGTATATTTGAATGATACTGCTATAATCAAATTTCTGTTTAACTCATGGGCATAGCAAGGCTCTGGGATTACCCTGGGGTTAAAATACTCGGTGCTGAGAAGCAGCAGGGTGCCATGACTCGAGCTCCTAAATCTGGCATGGCTGCATTAACCAGAGACACTCCATAACAGCTGTAACCTTGCAAAAATAGTCTCAAGCATAAAATGCAGCTCGGAAATCCTGCACACAATGAACAAAGACCACACAGCAAAATGAAGTGTCCGGCACCATCAGGACAGGGATCCAAACCTGGGAGGGAATTCCCTTCCCTCCTCTCACGGTGCAGGTCACAACCATCCACTTTCCCACTTTTCTGAGAACAGTTAGTCCCTGCAACCACATCCCCTGCACTCAGACCAGAAAGGTTGTTGGGCAGGGAGGGTGATGCTCTTAGTGTGCACAGGTTAGGGACAAAAGCCCAAGGTAACTTTAACATCAGAAAGAAGCCCTCTCTGTCCCTCTGCAGATGTCCTGTGGCCCTGTGGGACACAGCTGGGGCTGTGGTGGCACTCAAGGACTTCATGAACTGCAGAGCAGCACTTGGTTTATTCCCAGGCCAGGGAGAGGCTGCAGCCAGGTGAGAAGGTTTCCAGACAGGTTTATTTGCAGCCACCCCTCACCTCAACACGCCCCAGCAGATGTTACACTGCTGCTCTGCTGCAACACTGAATTGTGTCACCACTAAGGGCCAGGCACAACAACCACGGGGACAACTCAGCAGTGATGTTTTACACCAGGTCAGAGCAGCACCAGCACAAAGACAAGCTCAGCCCATCCCACTGTGCCAGGTGTGCTCAAACACAGCAGCACCAGACCCTGCTGGGCACCCTCCCTGTCCCGGACAAGGTGGACAAGGGTAGATGTGCACAGAGGGCATCTGGGAAGCTTGAACCAGGCTTTCCCCTGAACTTTGCACTTGCTCTTTAATTACCAAAAAACATTTCTCACTAGGGAGGCCCCAAGTCTGTGTGGAAGATGCAAGGTTGGAGATGCCCTGGGAAGTCCCCAGGGTGAGTGCAGGGATGCCCCTGGCAAGCAGGAGCTGAGCTCCCCAACACCCCTAGTCTATCAAGCTGGAAGTTCTGTGTTGGAGGGAAACACTTCACCTCACCCACCCGAGCCCTTGGCAAGGCAGGGTTTGCAGAGCTCAGAAAGGAGTCTCTCGGCTGAGGGAAGTGGGAAGTAAAATCACCCTCACAAACCCCTCAAAGGAGAGCAGTCCATGGCTCCAGAGGTGTCCAGATCAACATTATAGATGCCCTTTGTACAGGCAGCACAAACCAGAACTCCACCTTCAGCCCCTAAATCCAAAGAATTTGTCTCAAGAGGCACAGGAGACCTCCCAGCAGGGCAGGAGAAGCCCCACAGCTAAAAAAACTGCTGACATCCACCCTGCCCTCATGCTCATGCATCCGGTTTTGCTTCACTAAACCAGTGACCCAGCACCATCTATTTTTACTGAATACATGGAAAATTAGTCAGATTTATCTGCCAGCGACACAGGCAGCCCAGAACACATCACATCCCCAGCTGGGAGATGCAGCAGGCCGTGCTTATCCCAGCATCCAACACAGCGCGATTCCACTGAGCCCAGCAGGACAAAGACCCAAAGGAAAACCTCCCTCTGGGAGGGCAAACACCACAGCAAAGCCTCCCATTAGGGATGGGGTGCTGGGAGCCACGAGCCCCCCGTGTCAGGAGGGAGCCCGGGCACAGCACCCGCTCACGCTTTGATCGCTATCGGTGCCAGTGGCAGCAGCGGCCCCGTGGGCGGCCTCGGAAGGATGAGGCTTTGCCACTTCTTTTCTGAGAAGTGCACCGAGATGCCCTCTTCCTCCTCCTCCTTCTCCCAGAGTAGCTCCTTCCTGGCCTCGTGCAGGGGGTGGCATTTCCCCTCCTCCGCTCTTTGTAGTGGGCAACCAACCATCAAGCGGGAAAAAGGAAAGAAATAAAGCAAAAATACCAAATCATGCCCAGACTGCCCACAGTGCCTGGGCTGGGCATCAGTGCTAGTGCTGTCTGAAGCGACACACCTGGAGGGGGTGAAAAGCAAGCAGCTCCATTTCCTCCCTCCCCCAGACCCTCTCCCACCCTTTCCCCTACGTCCACCCTAGAGGAAGGTGGCTCTTTCAAGGGACTCTGGCCCAGAGGAAGGGCCAGCTCACAGCAGTTTGTAAAGAGGGGTTGGAGGTGCCCAAAGGACAAGGGACAGTCCAAGCCTTGCAGCCACAGCATCCCCTTGGGATGCATCTTGCACTGCACAGCAATCCAACCCACAGCTTCCATATCCAAGCAGATGCTTAGATATGGAATATGGATATCCAGCAGCAGGGTACAGGGGCACCTCCCAGGGCTAGAGCCACTCCAAGCACTTCCACTCTGGGCAGTGATTTTGGCAAGAAAACCCACAACAAACCTGGAGAAGTCAGCTCGAGGTTAAAGTTTGCCAGGTTTAGTAACCAGTAACCATAGTGCTGCACCCTGAGCTGGAAGCATTTCAGACACTGCATTTCACTACTCGGTGACTAAGCTGGAGGAGCCCCCTCACCAGACTGGTCCTTCCCCAGGAGGGTATTTAGATGCAATGGAACAGGATCTTAAGTTTCTCTTTTTTAGAGCTGAGCACACTGAATTTCTGGGCACCATGTGAGACATTGTCCAGCTCACCAGTGACCTTCATCCACTCTCCCTCACCAGCATCCTTCATCCTCTCTGACCCATGTGGAGCCCTGTGGTAGATACACAACAGCTGCTTCCCAGCAGATCCCAGTGCTCCTTCCAGGCACTGGGCTGCCCTCCCACCCACCACAATCCTCTGGCCTCTCTCCCACCTCTGATTTCCAGCATAGCATCCCCAGCAGTGCCAGCAGCCAGACCCAAGCCCAGGCCTTTCCTTCACCAAAAGCTCCTTGTTTTCTCTGCTCACCAGCAAGAAGTAAGATATGTTTCTCCCCTTATCACACTAATTTGACTGCAGTCTTTCTCCAGCCACATGAAGCCAGGCAAACCCTGAATGGGGTCTCCATGAGGAAATGGAGGTTCTCCTTCCAAGCACTTTTCTAACAGGGATTTTTGAGTCACAGGCAACTCATTTTAAATTTGGTTCCTCCAATAAACTCTGCAATAAGATCTTCTATTTAGACCTCAGAGCTGGCCATGGGCTCATGCAGAGTATAAATGTGGGATGGCCAAAGACTCACAACTTCTCCTCTTTGCTGACTTCACACACCTCAGCTACTCACTCACTTACGCAGGGGGGAAACAACGTGTCGGAAATGATTACTCACCCACTCTGGAGCAACGTAAAAATAAAGCACTAAATAATTTAATAATTAAAAAAACCCTAGCAAGGCCCCAGCCCTAAGAGCTGCAATGTGGTGTGTGCTATTTTGGTGTATGGAAATGGTAAAAAAGAGGGGAAAGCAAATAAATTGGGAAATAGAAGTGACGCAAGAAGTTAAAAATGAGAAAGGAGAAGGTTACGGCCCAGCTCAGAACAAGATAGAAGGATTCACTGACTATATGAGGAACAACCCTGCCACAAATAACAGCCTGGATCTGACATAGAACAGGGATAATGAAACTGTTGCTTGTAACATGGGGAAGGCAGAAGGATGTGAAAACATTTCTGCTCTGTTTCTGAAAGCATTAAGATGCCCTGCTCTGGGGTGTGGGTGCACCGTGCTCTGTTTTCCCTAAATCATTCGTGTTACTGCAAATACTTCCTACTCCGCCTGCAAGGGGGTAGGATGTGAAAGAGCAGCACATTAAAACTGAGGACAGCCCCCATGGGAAGGCCCTGGAGGGGTTGCCCTGGGGGCTCCCCAGCAGCAGAAGCTGGGCCAGGGCACAGCAGAGCCATTAACATCCCACCCACCGCCGGAGCGGAAACAGGGAGCGCTGGTCACGCTGGAGATCGCTGGCAACAGCGCAAACCCCTTCCATGAAAGGGGACCTTCTGATGTGCAACACGCCTGAGATTCTCCCAGGAATGCCAGGTCACTCTGCCAAACCCCGCAAAACCCACATGAAGAGCGCTGAGAACCATCAGGAGGAGAGATGGAGGGAAATCATTAGGGCTGAGGAATCCCTGGGCAGCACAGCTGCCTCCAGCAGAGCCCACCACCCCCAGCCCCCGCCCTGCACAGTCTGGGCTTGGCTAACGAGCCGGAAAAATTACAAAGTCGTTGTTTAAAGGCTTCCCTAACTCAAACGCCAGCTCTGAGGGGCTGGGATTAGGAGCTTGTGAGTGACACAGGAATTGATTAATTGTAATTACAGGAAGAGGTGAGTTGTGCAGGAGCACAATGACTCGCTGGGCGAGATGGGACTCCTCGGGACACACGCTGTCACGGTGCCAAGCGCAAGGTCGCGCTTCCAGGAACCGGGAATGTAGGTCACACTTCAGGGCCTGGCTCCCAGAGCACAGGGAGATGAAAAGGACACAGGAATCTTGGTCATAACTACACAAACCAAGACCCCAGGTGATGCTACAGCATCACCTAGCACTGCTACACTGGGTGTGAGGAAACGGGCACGGCAGAAGGGATTACTGTGGTATTTGGCAGCACTGTTTGCACCTCTTTGTTGACTTACAGGTAAAAAGAAAAGCAGAAAGGGTTGAAAGAACTGCAAAGACAAAGAGGAATCTGAATCTGACAGCCCCCCAAATTCATTTCAATTCTTTGATCCATAAGAGGATTTGGGAGTGATTTAATTGCAGCTCACAAACATGAGCATGAGGAAGAAAGGTCAAAATGACATTCAAAAATTACTTCTGCTCATTGCTGCTCTGCCCCCACCACCGCCATCCCGAATCCCTTGGCAGCCCTCTGAACATGGCTCACCTCTTTACGGCCACCACGGTGTCTGACCCAGCTTTAAATCAAGCCAGTAACAATCTCTGTGCCTGCTTCTGGCAATGCAGCAGGGGCCATACCCGTGGGTTTGGGGTCTATGAGCATCCAAGCAAGGCTGGCTGGTTGCACAAAGGAGTCTTTCCTCGTGGTGAGCAAAGACTTCTCCTCCCTCCGCTCACGCATGGACAGCTGGCAACACACACGACTTCTCTGCTGAGCCTTTACACAGGTAAGACCTAACATGACTTGTTCAGTGTCTTGGAACATCATCCTACTACAGCAAGAGGCTCGGGAAGACTGACTAGGTTGGATTCCACATATAACTTGGAACATTGGAAGGGAAAAAGGCCTCCAAACCTCCAGTAGCACCAGCAGCTCTCTTACCCAGGAGCCCAGGTAGGTCAGCAGAGACAGAAGAACAAGCTCATGGTTAAAAGGTCACCTACCAGCCCATCTGCTGGAGACAGCATCTCTGCTAAGCCCATGTAGACATCTTTCCAGTGCGTGGTAGATCCTGTCCTCTGTGCACGTGGTGTGCTGCATTTTAATTCATCTCCTGGAGAGGAAGAAGCAGGAAGGTTAGTACTGTGTACAGTGTCCTTATTGAAGTGTGAGGAAGGGAGCACTGCCATGCTTCTGCTGCAGTGCAGACAAGGTGCTCCTGGTGAACCACCACCCTGTCACTGCCTCGTGTCACCCCAAACCTACTGCAGACATCTCTGCCTTCTCACAACTTCCGTCCGCAGGGCAGAATGAGTCTCGCTTACATGTCTGTGGTGAGGAGGTAATCGTGGGTTAACCTCCTTCAAAGATAACACTGCAAGAGATTACAGCTCAGATGGGAGTCCTGGAACAGCCCAGGCTGGGAGTGATCTCAAAAGATCATCTGGTCCAACCTGGAAAAGACGGCAGCAGAGTCCACACTTCTGCTCCTTGCATTAGGCATGGATTGTCCTTGACACCTCTGGTGTCCACTGCCAATGGTCACAAACACACTCCAAGTGGCCAGGGAAGCCACCAGCACTGTCACCTTGCTGTCATTGTGAAGAAAAGGTCCACGTGCCTTCGTGGCAATGCAGGAAAACCCAGAGAGGACATCAGCCCAACATTCAAGGACATTGTGAAACAGCGACTGCAGATTGCGGGGCTGCAGCCCTGTCACATCTCGCCTCTCCTCCACAGCCCAGGATGAAACCTGAAACCCTGGGCTGGGGGGAGGAAGATTTTCTCTCACCCAGTTCATATGCATCTGTCTGGGATGTCTTGAACATAAAAGCCACTTGGCCAGAGGATTTACTGCTCAGATCTGCCTGGCCAGGAGAAATCAAAGAGATGACTGGGAGGAGATTCCCTCCTCCCCTGCAGTGCCAGCCCTGGAGTCCAGAGGGACCCTCGGGCAGGTGTCCCTCCTCTCCTAAAGGACAGACACGGGTTCATCCCACAGACTCTTTGCCTCTTGGTTAGGGGCAACAAAAATGCACAAACATAATCCAGGAAGAAGAAATAAAACCTTCCAATACTACAAAGCCCACCTGCCAAGGAGGCCTTTGCTTTCACCCTTGACAGAGCACTCCTGTACCAATGCCACACATCTATACAGCTACCCCAAATTCTCAGTTCTCTGCTTATTTGGTCAATGTTTGGTGCTCAGCATTCAGTGGTGGCTGCACACATCACAGCTCCACAACTCTGCCGTGGCAGGAACCAAAGTCACTGTGATCTCAGCACAGGCTCCATGGTCCTTCATGCTTGGTGCACTTAGCATGGTCACCTCCACCCACACTTAATTCCCAGCAAATCCCCAAAAAGAGCTCAGGAAAGCTGTGCCTGGCTGTTGGGGCTCCCCAGGAGCCCAAGCAGTGGGGGAGGTTGGCTCCAGCCTTGCCCCTTGGTCCTTCCCGTGCTGGAGAGAATCCACCAACAGCTCCAAACAGGTGAAAGCAAACACACAAGAACCGCCACTGACCTGCCAAATACAAGTTCTCTTTTTCACCCAAAGAGGTTCATGGGCTCCTGCCTCTTGTGTCCCACTGCCACAGCCTGTTATTATGGTCTTCACCATAAGCTTTGTCCATCCATGTGCACGTGTGAGGAACGCGGTGCCGCGGGCTGAACGAGCGGGGAAATCACACACCAGCACCTTGGGCACAGCCTGTGGCAAGAGGAAAACGGTGACTGCCAGCACAGGGTGACTCACAGGCACCCCTTACAACACCCAGCTCACAAAAAAACACCTCTCCCTGCACGTCAGCTCGTTTTAGGGCACAGCTCAGTCCCCAGAGGGGAACACACTCCTCACCCCACACCAGTCCAGCCATCCCTTCCCACTCCCTCTCGTGTGCCAGCACACAACAGGCAGGGAATTCAAGGACAAAATATCACCAAGGTATCACCACAACTTTCAAAACACAAAACACAGACTCGGTTGGGTTTTTTTTCCCCTGGTGTGGCACAGACCACACATGAATCTAACCCTCCTCTCCCAAGGCAGTGCTTATGGAAGCATTTTTCATGGGAGAGGACTCCATTTGTCCACCACAGCTGAGCAGGAACTCTGCAACCTTTTCTGCTGTGTATTCCCCCAACTCTCCCTTCCTTCCCACCCACACTGAATGAGATGACAAGGCAAGGGACAGTACTGGAGAATGTAATCTGACTTTCTAAGAAGCCCTGTTAAGCATCTCAAGAACATGAAGAAAAACAAGTGTTGAAGTCAAGGTTTTGGATCAATGCTTTGCTTTTTATGAGGGCATTGAGCAACTCAGCAGGTTAAAAAAAAAAAAAAAATCTGTCCCTTCATCCTCTTCTCCCAAATGGACTCCCAGCAGAAGAGCACAACCACCACCCAGGGAAGGGAGAAGGGATGGATCAACTGAGACAAAACACCAGTGAGACACTTCCCAATATGAGATTGTGACAACTCTCCTGACAGCAGCTCTGCTGGCAGCGCAATCTGGTGCCCACAAATCTGTCCAGTCCCTATGAGACACTGCTCCCAGGAGACAGGAAAAGAGGAGACACCACAGCAGTTGTGGGAAACATCCTCAGGCATCGCCCTTGGACAAGGCATTAACCACGAGCATATCGGGTTGGACATCAGAAAGAATTTCTTCAAGGAAAGGGTGGTCAGGCATTGTAAGGGCTGCTCGGGGAGGTGGGGGAGTCCCCATCCCTGGAGGTGTTCAAGAAACAACTAGATATGGCACTCAGTGCTCTGGTCTAACTGACCAGGTGATGATTGGTCAAAGGCTGGATTTGATGATCTTGGGGGTCTTTTCCACCCTGAATAATTCTGTGATACTGCATATGGAAAAATGTGCCCAGGTCAAATGCCCCTCCTGCTCTGCACAGTGTAGGCAACAGCTGAACAAAGTAAGCAAAAGGGCTTTATCCCACCACACCTCGTTCATGCACCAGACCCCAGCCCTACAAAATCAAGCTTGGGATTTCAAGCCTTGAATGTTCCCCAGTGTCTGAGGTTGGTTTCTATTCTCCAGCAACTGCACCTTAAAAGCAGCCTCCAAACACTGTGCAAACCATGCAGTTACCACTGAAGAAGCAGAGAAGCCAATGTTTGGATGAGTTAAGCAATCCTTCTGCTGTCCTACAGTGACTTGTGGCACAGTTGGGAGCAGAAGGCAAATCCCCAGCTCTCCACGGACGTTCCTTATACTCCATGCCATCCTCCTGCCACCTGCAGAATCAGCATGGTCAGAAAGGACTGGACTCCTCACAAGAACCAAGTCAGATCTCACCTAGACAGAGTCCCCGTTGCCTCACACTGCTCTGGTCCAAACACAGCTCATCAACCAAGATAAACGCACCAGTGCACATCCCTGGATCACAAACAGCCCAGGGCGAGGCAGGCAGAGAGCAAGGCTTGCTGTCCTTCCTATCACATCATGCCAGTGATGTTACAGCCTCCTCAGCCTCAGAAGTGACAACATTTAAGCCCCCTGGTTTTAACAGCCCCATGTCCTGGGAGAAACCAATTTGCCTCTCATGGTTTTGCCCTGTTTTCACCAAACAGCCAGTGATTCACCACCCTGTGGGCATGGGGCAAAGATGAACCCATCCCCTCCTCTGAAGGCCTGAGTGCCCAAAAAACACCTGAAAAATTTCTAAGCAGATAAAAAACCCCACTGATTCAAGTGAGTGAGAAACAGCACAGCACACCAAAGCTCAGTTTGGAAAGTATCTTAGGAGCATTTGTGAAATTGTCCTTGCACGAATGCAGGATTTTGGGGCAAATTCCATTGAAGATTCTTTAGTTAAGAGGCTTCGTCTCTGTTTGTCCCAGTTACAAAGGTGACCAGGCAAATCACAATGTTCCTGTTAACTAACACCAAATAAATAAGCATTTACCCCCTGGTGGGACAAAGGAACTTGCTGATCATTGCTTTTAGATTTTCACTTGTCCTGCTTTGAGGCACAAGGTTTGAAGAAATGCCAAAGTTTTTAAAAACTATGAAAAACTACCGACAAAATAGAATGTATTTTCCTGCTGAGGTCATGGGAATCCCTCAGGGTGTCACAGCTCCATCACAGGGACTTTCCACTCAGTTGGGACACACTGGTTCCCCCACTTGCCTTCACTGTCCTGGGACCTTTCCCTTCCATGGATTTTCTCCAGCTCAGTATCAGAGCAGGGAACACATCAACTTCTCCTTGCCCAGAAGGTCCCTCTGCACAGCCAAGTTGAGGAGATGACATCAGCAGCCCCCATATGACTGGGACATGGCCCGTGACAGCCTTTACAGCAAGGAGGAACACTTTCCTTGTATTAAGGTCCACATGAGTCCTATCTTCAGCATCCAAAGGACTTCTCTGATCTCCTCCTATAGCAGTGGGGCCCAGGAAAACCACCATGAGATGGGAACAGAGGGAAAGAGCTCCAGGTTTTTTGGCACTGACAGCTGGTGGAGGGACACAAACTGACTCACTGAGACACCAAATCCCGGGTTGGTGCCAGGACGTGACTCAGCACGTGGCTGGATGCTGCCAAAGGGGTTAGGGCACTGGGGAGACAAGGGCAAGAGGCTAAAGAAAAGAGGAGCTTGGGCTGATGCTACAACAGAAGAAAAACCCCTTAATTTGGAATCAAAGCAGAGGGATTCTAAGCAGAGCTTTTTCAGGGCCAGATTCTCACATAAGCTCTCCGGCAAGGGCATCTCCTTTGAGCTACACCTCAGCTTTCTGCCTCCTCCATTTCACCCTCCAGAGGGGCAGTGGGCAACAGGCAGGAAGGGAGCTTTAGGAGATGAATCCTCACTGCAGTGGAGGAGCTGGATATGCAGTTATGCCACACAGTGGAGCAAGGGCATGTGTGGTACCTGCTCCTCCAGTGAAAGTGGCTGTTTTTCTTCGATTACAGAAGAAACCTTGGTTTTCAACTACCCTTTACTTGCAAGATTTTACTGCCTCCTCTACACCCCACAGGGGAGCCAAAGATAGAAACTCTGAGCCGAGGGAGGGAGCAGCTGGAGGAAGCCTTTGTAGAAAATCGGGGCAACGAGGGGAGGAACCTGCGATGTTCAAGATTCAAACCTCACCCTGCGTGTGTTTACCACCCAGCAAGCGCGCTGAGAAGAGCAGGGAGATGAAGCTGATAAGATGTTCCTTCAAACCACACAAAGGCAGCGTGTCAGAAGATCCAGGAGGCAACTGGTTTGACAAACATCCTTTGAGGGTGCTCGCAGGGGAGCGTGTGCCATCCAAACACCCCGGCTTCCTTACAGGGCCTCGGGTTCCTGTCCCGCTGAGCAAGGACAGGAGCTGCTCTCAGCCTGAGGAGAAGAGCACACTGAGCCATGGCAGTGACCTGCATGGACTGCAAAACCTCCTTGGTGGGGAGTCTCCCTGCCCCAGCCAACAGGGGAAGAGGCAGTAGAGAAGGAAAATGGAGAATCTTTTGACAAAACCCAGACCAAGCCCTTACTGAATCCTGGCCACGGGCAAATTGACCAAAACCAACACTGATGAGGCCACAGAGGGGGAACATGAGAGAAATCCACTTATGTGTCACCACTCATATCTCTGCAAATCCACCCACACACCTACTCACCCACCCAAGCCGTGTTGGCTTGGTGAGAGCATCACCGCTGTTGCTCCTGGGTGCTGGTAGAGGCTCAAGAGGACTGAAAAGGTTGTCATGAGGTCTGATTTCTTGAGAAGCCAGTCATAGCAGTGCCTGGGCACTCTGTGGGATTGCCCCCTTGCCCACAGAGGGTTGGAAAGGGGTAAACAAGTGCAACTGTGGCCAATGCTGGGAGTATTTGCTGCCATCAGGGTACCACTGGAAGAACCAGAGCAGGAACAGCTCCAAGGAGCAGTGCAGATTTGGGGGCAGGGTGGTGAGGATCCAGGAAGCAGCACGTGCCCAGGAAAATTCATCCACACAAAAAGACACTGGTGATACAGACCTTGAGACCAAGGTGGCTTTTCAGAAGACCAAAACCACCAAAAAGTCAACAGGGCATTGGTTTGACCAGGCAGCACAGGAAAGCATTTGGTCTCCTGGACACACGGTGTGTCTGGAGGGTTCAGCAATCACACTGATATGAAAAACTGCAGCCAGGAATGAGCTGCCCTGAAAACTGGCAAGCTCCACATTCCAGCTGTCCAGCTACAGGGTTGTATCCCTGCTGGGAAGGACAGGACTTGGAGATCCCATAAGCAACAGATACAGCCTCTTTCTTTGCATGACTCTGGAAGGAAGATTTTCACAGCAATTAGTCCCCCACTCTGTGACTAAAACCTGGAACAGCACATGTAGAAAGAGTTTTGATGTAATAAAAGAGCAACAAGCCATTATATGAACCATCAACCTTACAATTGCTGTGGGATTGGCACATTAATGCAGGATTCTGAGCAAACTGCAGTGTCTGGAAGCGAAATGGGAAAGAGAGGTTTAAACAGTGATTTTATCTTCAAGCGGAGGATAAAATTCCTGGTACAAGAAGAAAACAGGACAACAGTGCTGAGGGGCAGGAATGGACAGGACATCCCTACATGCTCCCAGTAGGAAATCAAGTTCTGATCTATAAGTGG